ATTTCCACTGCAGCGGGTAGCCCCGTTTAATCGTCCTCAAGCGGCCAGGCCAGTTTTTGGTGGCCTTTCCATATATAGCGTAGCACCGCCTAGCGGGTACTTTTTCCCTCTTTTTCCGGCCCCATAAAATCGTGGTTCTATCAGGCCAGGGCCAGGGCTGAACTAGTGACGTCAATACTCTCGACTGCTGATTGGTCAGAGAGAATCGTCACAAGATCGCGCGCGAGATCATCCCTAGCGTTGCATATATATCTAGAAGCAAGCTTGCAGCATTTCTATACACAGCATTTTTGTAAACGGAGGAGCTACAAAAATGGCAACGTCAAAGAAAAGCACACCGTGGTCGACCGAGGAGGTGACGACGTTCCTACATCTCATTGGGGATGATAAAATCCAGCGGGAGCTCGACGGAACAACTCGAAATGTGAAAGAGTTCCAGGATGTCTCTGCACAGATCGCCCCGCCTACACTGCGTTGCTACCCCAGGTCCTAAACTGTAATGGAAATGCGCCACGGCCTCGTACGGCCAGCGAGGCAGCCCGAGGCCTGAGCGAGGACGCTTAGGGACGCTTAAACGGGGCTACCCCGCTGCAGTGGAAATGTGCCATTAGATTGCTGAGAAATGGGTGTCAAAACTAATCACCAAACATTTAGACAAAGGTTTCGCTCCACTCCACCCAATGCAGTTTGGTTTTCGTGCTCACCACTCCACTGAGAAAGCTAACTGTGTCTTTGTGGAAAAGGTTAAATGTATGTTGGACACAAGCCCATATGTAGGCACTGTCTTCCTTGATCTCAGGGCATTTGACACTGTTGACCACCAAGTGCTCCTTACAAAGCTGACTCATTTCAATTTTTCTGCAGTTTCTATACATTGGTTTAAGTCTTACTTATCGAACAGGAAACAGTGTGCTTTGGTCAACAGTGCCAATTCGCCCTACCTGGTCAACCCTGTTGGGGTTCCACAAGGTTCCATTCTTGGACCATTACTTTTTTCCCTGTACATTAATGACTTGCCTAATGTATGTCCTGAGTTGAATGTGCAAATGTATGCCGATGATGTGGTCATCTTTGTACACGGGAAGAAGACTAAAATGATCTCATGTTGTCTCTCAAAAGCTTTGGACAAGGTTCAACACTGGCTGAACAACATTTGCTTAGTAAGCCTTGTGCCTTGATGGTAGAAGTTCAGAAACCAGACACTGTGAACAATATGAACAAATAAACAATAAAATGTTTCCTACAGTAACCTAGATTCTTGTGTGCTTTATGTTGATATGTAATCATATTTAAAAATAGGTGCAGCAATGCATGCACAAAGTATAGATATGGACAAGTGAAAAATGTATTCGGACAAGTACATTTCCAAACTCACTTGTCCATGGACAAGTACTCTCTAAAAACTTTTTCTCACACTGCTTACAGTTAAACTTAAAACAAACAGTATGCATGATGTTCAGTAAACGACCAGTAAAAATCAAAGTATTCAATGTGTTTTTAAACGGAGCAGAAATAGAACTAGTCTCCCAGTTCAAGTATCTTGGAGTCATATTGGACTCAAACTTGACTTTTAAGAAACATATTAAGAAAGTATCAAATACCATTAAATTCAACTTGCAACATTTTAAACAAATTAGACCTTTCTTAACTGTCAATGCTGCAAAGTCATACCTCCACTGTATGATTCTATCCCACATTGAATACTGTTTCACAAACTAGTCATTTGCTTGTACCACAACCCTTAAACCAATAGAACAGCTGTACAAGAGAGCTATCAAGGTATTTGACAGAAAGCCTTATTCATACCACCACTGTACCATCCTTGAAAAACACAATTTTTTAAGTTTTGACAATTTTAAGTCTTTTAAAAGTATGTGTTTTATTTCTAAAGGTTTACATGGACTGCCCCCCCCCCCCCCCTTAGGGGAATTCATCCACAAAGAACACACTGGACGCTGCACTAGGTCAGAAACCAGAGGAGACTGTGAGGTCCACCGTAGACGGACCACTTTTGGACAAAATGTCCTCTCCATTAAAGGCAGCTCTTTCTGGAATAGCCTCCCAACTGAGATACGGGATTGTCCCACTCTCAATAGTTTTAAAGGTCAACTCAAAGAATGGTTGAGAAACAAACAGATGTGCAATCACCGCTAAATGCACTTTAATACAGGGGTATCTCCTCTTGCACTTTAGTCAGCTTTTTTATCTTCTCTTGCACTTTATATGTCGTAGCTGCTATATTGTACTGTCATGTGGCTAATACTTGTGTGTGCTGCTCTTGCTCTTTTGCACTTTTTGCATATAATGTATTTTTTTTTGCTATGTTTGTAAAATGTGTGAGGAACTGCGGATGGAAATTAGCTAAAAAGCTAAATCTGGCACTGTTACGCTTGACACATTTTTTATGTTTTAAGTAGGGCCGGGACTCGATTAAAAAAATGTATCTAATTAATTAGAGGCTTTGTAATTAATGAATCTAAATTAATCGCATTTTTAATCACATGTAAATATTTGACCTAAGAACAGTGAGAAGCAATTTTTTTCACATGGATTTTAGTATACCATTAGGCGCATTCACACCGCAGTACTTTTCCCACAAAGGTTCATGAGAACTCTTTGAACCTGGGGGTGGATTAGGCAAATGAAGCCGCTGACGTCACTTCTTCTTCTTCTGCTTTGGGTTTACTGGCAGGCCGCAAACCACTTCACGGCGTATACTGCCACCCAAAGTCCCCGGCCGGAAGTCCCCGGAGTTGGGGACTGGCTTCAGTAGAAAACTACTACTGAAGCCTTCCGAGTAAATCGCCAGAATGCCGATACCTCCTCATCTCCACCGCTCCCATGTTTTATTTTGTGTTGCCATAAGTTAGTCTCTCTGCGTTTCTGTGCTGGGCTAATGCTAATAATGCTAATGCGAGGATAATAAAATGGCGGCTTCACAAAACTTTTTGGGAGTTTTACGGGGCGTGGTTTGCAATCCGCCCAGCCAATCAGAAATATAGCTCTTTTCTCACAAGAGAGCCGTACGAAAGTCCCTGCTCTCTAGCAGCTCTCTGCTCTCTAGCAGGGACTTTCGAGGGGGTAAAAAGGTTCTCATGAACTAATTTTAGTACCGGCTCTTTTTGGTGTGAACGCGATAAAAGAGGCTAACGTCCACGCTAGCTGCTATATGTTTTGCATTGAGGTGATACTTGAGGCTTGATGTGCTGCGGTGATATGCAAATTCCTTTTTGCATAATTTGCACACAACCGTGCTCTTATCGACGCTTCCATCCGTCCGTTTAAAACAACATTTCCCACTGTTGTTCACTGTGGTTTGTTGTTGTCTGAAGTCATGAACGTTAGTTGGTGCTCCAGTATAATCGGTATGCCTGAAACTCATCCAGTGAGAAACGTTCCGCGGTGCAAAAATAAGTGCGATTAAAATGCGTTAATTTTTTTAACGCGTTAATTTTTGTGTAATTAATTAATCTTAATTAAAGCGTTAAAGTCCCGGCCCTAGTTTTAAGTGTTCATCACCGTGCATTGTCCCTGCCAAATAAACGATTAAAATAAAAATAAATCACCCTCTGACTACCATGAATGTCCGATTGTATTTCATTTTAACAGGAGGTGTTTGGAATTCTTTGTTTTGTTTTCATATTCTAGTGGTTTTTATATGTGATGGAGCATGGGGTACTTTTTGAAATATTTGCCTGTTGTCTGTGTTGTTGGCAAAATGTGTGTCACAATGGAGACCGTCTTTTAACTATAAACCAAATGTACGGGTACAAATAAATAACCTGAATCTGATGCCTTTAATTATTGGTGAGATATTAGTAAAGTTGTGGACCGACCAACTGTCAAATTAATAAAAATGTGCAGTTGGCACACTCACACCCACGCCAACATAAAGTGTCTAAAAAAGACTAAACTGCATATCATCTCTCTCAGTCTCCTTCTCAGTGGTCATGAATCATTTCTCTGCAGGGAGCAGAACAGATTTTCCTTCCGGGTAAGAAGCATGTAGGCCAGAGCAATTCAAAGCTCATGTTTTCATAATGTGTTGTTACTGTGAGAGACTCAGAGAGAGAAGCTGTGTTAACGATCAAACACAGAGCGCCATCGTCATGGAGGACCCGCTCAAATTCTGAGACGCTAACACTACAGCTAGCAACCAAGAGAGGGATAAACATTACAAGTGTGTGAGTGTGGAGTAGTGATTTACAGAACATGCCATTATCTGTATCTGTTCAAGCTAAATATGAGTGATCAGTATTCGGATAGACCAAAAGTGGGCGTGGTTTATCCCAATAGCCTATTGGATTGGGCAAATATTGTATTTTGTAACCTTATATTCATACGTAATGTAAATGTTGTTCCTTCAAATTATCATATTGATGTTTTATGGGAATATAATTCATTATGAAACATGCGTTTCATCTGACTCTCTCTCTTCTTATGACTAATTAAAGTTGTATGAGCTGCATGAATCCCCCCCCATTCCCCTTTAACTCGGTGACACAAAGGCATCAGACACAAAAATGTACATGAAACATAAAATGGCTTTACACACAGCATGCTACATCTTAAAAGCACTTTTCTTGAAGTCTGACAAGACGTTGTTTTGCATGATATGTACGGTGGCCGGCAGGTGCAAACGCTAAACAACGGCCACAAACACACACATAAGCAGGAAACACCTGCAAATAATGAAATGAAAAACCAACAAACCCTGAAAACACATACAACAGAAAAACGCTGCATTTACAGAAATGATGCAAGCTAAACCTACAACACACAAACCCCGAAAACAAACGCAACAGAAAAACGCTGCAAATACAAAAACGATATGCAAAGTCAAAAGCACATACAACCGAAAAACACATTACAAAAAAAAAAGACATTACAAAAAAAAAACATTCCGGAAGTGCTTCAGGCCTCTAGGGGGCGCGCTACGTGGAACAGATCGATGTATGACCAGACATAGAGAGAACGAACAAGAGGAAAGAAAGTTCATTTAAGTGGAGAAAGATATAAGAAGGTAAGTTTTGTTTTTTTATACATAGAGCGTCATATTTATATAGCTAGCATTAGCGTGCCTAACTACTACACCAGCTGAGGGAGGAGAGCTTCACGTGAAGAGAAGAGAAAGTGAGGGAAGAACATTGTAAAGAGATGACAAATCAAGTGCAGGCAAATAACACGGGCCATAGTGAGTACCGCGGAAAAAGGACATTTGAATTCTTAGCAGTTTGTTTATATTTATGTATTTGTGTATAGATGTTGCAACTATACAGAGCTTTAGCAATTGCCTGTAACTATGGTCATGCTAATAAAGCTATTGAATTGAATTGAGAGAGAAAGAGACAAAATGTGAAGAGGGACAAAGTAATGACAGGATAGTAGTGTGCATTAGACATTCAAGGAGAGAGAGAGACAAATCACAGATTCAACGGTGAACATGATGTATCTATTTATTTAGCTAACCACTATTTAGACTATGTGTTTTTGATTGACTTGATTACATGGATTTACTACATCAATGTATGTCTTTTCAGGCTGCCATGTTTTGTCCTTTCTGTGGCCAACATCTGGGGACAGTTCAAGTGCTCTGTGGCTCCTGTGGCAAACATGTACAGTTTTTGGCAGAAGTTGAACACAACAGTAAGTTCACTTTTTGTATTGTATCTGTTTCAAATGCAAGAAATAAGGATTCAACACACTGCTCTGTTTAGAATGCTAATTGGCAGATGCATACACTAGTTATCAGCATGAAGGACACATTTTTTCATTGTCTGTTTATGTGAAATATGTAGAAGCCATCATTAAATTGTAGACCAACGCATGATTAAATACACAAAACAGCTTATATTATACATTCATAATTGTGTATTAGTTATATCTTTATAAAGAACATTATACATTTAGAATCAGATTTTGAGACAGTGAGCCATGACATGTTTTCTTCTTTTTCTCCTTGTGTTTTTGAACTATAGAAGTTGCAATCATCCTCCCAGCATGAAAGTATTCGTCATCTTTTGCAGCTGTTGATATTTTTTGTTAAATTATTATCACGTTAACCAACAGTTGCCACGTTATCATAAAGATATACAGTATAAGATAATGTAATTATCACGTAAATCAAGCTGCAAAATCCATAAGCAGCTCCTATATTTACAGTACAGTATTGAACATAAGACAGATTTGCGAACATCATTACCTGCATTGTCGAACTTGAGGAATTTCCTGTCCTGTGGACCATCAAATATTCTTCTCATTCTCAGGCATTCCATTAGGAGGGTCAGGAACTCACGCTTGGGACCACCAGTGTCCACTCCATCCTCAGTTTGTCCCTCATCATCAGTAAACTTAACCTGCATCTGATGAGAGGGGTCGAATGAGGCCCCTTTGAAGCCGCGGATTGCTCCATCCCACACATTGGCTCTATTAATATTGAACCTGCTGCAAGAGGTATTTTAAATTTTTGCAGAGAGTTCTGCAACAATGTGTGCCGCAGTCAGGTATTCTGTGCTGGGAAAGACAAAGTGATGTATTGTAATATTAAATGATGAAGCTATAATAAGATTTACAGTATAGAATTAAAAAAATCAAGTGATAAAAGTAACATTTAATACATTTCCTCTGCAGTTTGCTCCGTTTCCTCTTCTGGCTCAGACTGGCTGTCAATAATGATAAGTGCATACACAGTTGTGTAGTTGCTGCAGTGAGAAGACAGTTGAATAATGACTTTCAAATACATAATATATGCATGACAGTCATATTTGCAAAAGGATGTCGATCCTCTTCCTGTTTTTTTTTAATACATTGGGTTCTAAACTGACAACAGCACTTTGTCATACTCCTGCACAATCCTTGTAAACATTTGAAATGGATGCAACAAACAATATCTGACCTTTGACAAATATTTGTGGGTGTTTTTTGTATCGTCTTCACTAAGATGTTGTGGGTGTCCTTTGGAAATGTATGAAAGTATAATTGTTCTGCTTCCTGGCAATATTACCCACTGTGATTGGAGGCTATGCAAACAACCAAATGTACAAATAAAAATACACACCAAACAACTGTGTCACGATGCAACTGTCAACATCGTTTACCTATAGAAGGTGTTCTGACCCGGGGCAGACTGGACCTCTTCCTGGAATGGGGTTGGTTCTCCATCCTACTTTTACCCAATAAATAATGATGCAGTTGATCTAATGACAGTGTCATTAGCACACAAAGGTATTTATTGATTTCATGTTCACAAATTCAAACCTACATGGTATAATTACATTTGTAATTAGTCTTACCCGATCAGACGCTGGTTGTGGGTGCCTGAGAGGTCTGATAAAGGTAAACAACAAATATATTCAAACTACTGTACTGTTAAAACATTCTGCTTCTTGTGGCACAAAATAACATGTTGACAATGTTTTATTTGACCCTGGCAAACTGTTGTCCATTCTGGGAGTGCTCTGTTCATTTGGAAAGTCCCACACCTGCATACAACACACAAATGACTGACTGAAATAAAATAAATTCACTTTAATTAAGAATAAATGCCACGATAGATCCAAACTGACCACGGTGTCAGCAAGACTCTCCAGATGGCAACTTTGCAAAAACCACACTGTCCTCGTCACTTGAAGAGGTTGTTCCAGTGTAACCTAAGAAAATAAAAGTGTCATGATTAATACTATACAAATAATTGTTCCCCTACGTCTGTACCTATCATCAAATGTTGGTTTGAATCCTGAATTATTGGATTGACATCAATCAGAAAGGATTCAATCGAAACACAAAATGTTTGTGAAATGTACATTATATTGTTGACTGTCTTTTTTACTCTCACATTAGGATTTAGGGCACAACAAACCAACATTGTTGTGAGAAAAAAGGTTAATTTAGAATTACAATCCTTAAGAGGGAATTTATAACAGTTTGAACAGAAGGAAAGTTTGGAAGCTTTTGTTGATACTTAAATTCCATTTCTTCTGCCACTATTCATAAAAGACCATTTGACGTCATAAGTTCAACCACGAAGAGAAAGGAATGATGGGTGGAATGAATTGTGTTAAGAAATATAGACAGAACAACTGTTATGTTTACATTTGAACTATTATACAGTTTAGTGCTTTAAACAAGGGGGAATATATGTCAGAAGCACTTACAACTGTTTTCAACGGCTTCAAGAGTACAGATGTACAACGTAATTCGTTGGTAGGGCTTTCCAATGGCCTCTTTGTACATCTGTACTGTGAAAGGGGTGTCCGTTCCGGGGATATTTGTTATCACCCTCGCATCAGGGTACAACAAGACATGGGCACCATCTTCCAAGTCCTGGTTAAAGGCTTTCTGCTTTTTTATGGCAGCAGCCAACAGTTCTTCACATGCCCATTGAGGTTCGACATTAAGGGGAAGTGACCTCCCTCTCAAAGGTTTAAGGCAGCCATCCATCCTCCTCATTACTCCAACAGAAATCTGCAAAAAGACAATAATATGCAAATGAATAAAACATTTTTTCGGACATTATATGAGAGTGTGGTGAGCAGATTTGAATGACAGATGTATTCATAACAGAAAACGTTGCATACCTTCACCAATTTCTGTTTATTTTTGGAGTTATGCCGTCCCTTTGTAAAAAAGGTCTCTCCCTCTTTTTTATTTCCCTATATTTCTGAAAGGACTCTACAGCTGAGCTTCCTGCTACAAAAAAACAGGAATAAAACATTCATTACTCTTCATTATGTTCAATAGGAGTCTCATCCACAATCCCTTCTGAGGAACATCTTATAACACATTCAACAGTAGGTAAGTCACATAGTTTAGAGATGTATTTGTATAATAACAGAATTCGAACTTTTAAACCAAGTTTTCTATAAATACTTATTGTTTGGTAATAAAACGAACAACCTATTTACCTGCACTGGTGCTAGGCTGTGCACTTAGATGCGCACTAGTGGTGGGCATCTCCTCAGGGACTTTGTTAGCCACATCTTTTAGAAATGTGATGTCTCTGCCACAGACACCACAAAAGCCATGCGAAGATGTCACGCTGGAACCACAGAATGGACAGTACATCTGTGGAGAAATAAAATGTAGGACAGCTAGGTTAAGTCAAAAAGAGTGGATATTTTTCAGCTACCTAAATATTATAATAGTATTAAAGAACGGTCTTTCAATTAACTCATCAGAAGCCAACCTCCTGTCTATCCCCCCACAAACCAAGCACCGAACCTGGGGGGACAGCGCTTTCTCCATCGCTGCCCCCTCCCTCTGGAACTCACTCCCATTAAACATCAGAGACTGCACCGACCCCCCCACCTTCAAAACACACCTCTTCAGACTGTCTTTTAATGTGGGAATAATGTTGTGTTGCTGTTTTAATATTTTAATTCAACTTTTTACATTTGATTTCCTTTTTATCACCGCATCGCATTTGCGGCTCAGTTGAGGTCCCATCCACGAGGTGAGGGCGTGAGACCCCACCCATTCTGTGATCTGCGTGTAGGGAGGGGCGTCCCGGTTCTATACTATATCTATATTATGTCAAGAGTTACATTTAGGTGCACAATGGCTCTTGCAAGCTCTTTGATCAAACACGCTAACGCTAGCTACGTAAATATGACGCTCTATGTATAAAAACAAAACAAAACTTACCTTCTTATATCTTTCTCCACTTAAATGAACTTTCTTTCCTCTTGTTCGTTCTCTCTATGTCTGGTCATACATCGATCTGTTCCACGTAGCGCGCCCCCTAGAGGCCTGAAGCACTTCCGGAATGTTTTTTTTTTGTAATGTCTTTTTTTTTGTAACGTGTTATTCGATTGTATGTGCTTTTGACTTTGCATATCGTTTTTGTATTTGCAGCGTTTTTCTGTTGCGTTTGTTTTCAGGGTTTGTCTGTTGTAGGTTTAGCTTGCATCATTTCTGTAAATGCAGCGTTTTTCTGTTGTATGTGTTTTCAGGGTTTGTTGGTTTTTCATTTCATTATTTGCAGGTGTTTCCTGCTTATGTGTGTGTTTTTGGCCGTTGTTTAGCGTTTGCACCTGCCGGCCACCGTAGATATGTGATTCCTAAACTACATCTATAGAATACAGCAATCACTTTTCAAATATCGAGAAGAGTGAGAAATTGAAGTACATTCATGAAATAATTGCATTTTTTTAAAACATGGATCTAATCATCTTCACATAAATCACTTAAAAACTAAATGATATAATTTTGACGGGGTCTGTTTTTATAGCTGGTGATTGTGTAATGTAACTTGGCTATTATGTGTTGTATGATATATATATATAGCCTATGATTTATTTAATTTTTGTTTTTTTAATTTTAAGATGGTAATTTGTTTAAGTTAAAGGTTGATAGAATAATTTCGAGTAAATTATATTGGACAAAAATAAAGCTCATTAGAGACAAAGGCTTTGCCATGTACATACAAAGTGCCCATCACACATTTACCTTTCAGACACAGAAAAAACATTTCGGATACCATTTTCAATTATATCATCAGATTGCAAACTAATAATAGAAATACAATTGTCTTCTATCTTAAGTTGTACGAGTAGTCTGCCCTTCTAAGGTTACCTTGAAAAAACATAAAAGGTTCCCTTCTAAAAACAGGTGAAGATTTTGTATTATCATAGTAGAATTAGAAAATAAGGATATTTGACTAAATAGTAGCCTTTGAATTGTGAAATAATTGACCTAATCACACATACATACCTAGAAACACATAACAAACAAATAATATTATTTTGATGGAAGTCACTAAGTCTGTTTTAAAGTGGGTGGTAATTTATCTGATTGTCACTGGATACTAAGTGTGATTTGTTGGTTTGAATAAACTTTAAGATTATATTTATATAGATTTTCTTTTGGGGGTGTAAAACTGATTGGGATTAAGAAAAAAAACAATAGATTATACAAAACAATATAAAATAAGTATACAGGGACAAATAAATGACATCAATAAAGTATCCACAGAGACATTACCTCACTGGAAAAAATGCTTTGAAGTAAAATAAGCAACAGGTTCCAGGCTGTGAATTGCAATGGAATCCCATGGGACATTTGGGAAAAACAGATAATGACACCTCCCACACACACACACACACACACACACACACACACACACACACACACACACACACACACACACACACACACACACACACACACACACACACACACACACACACACACACACACACACACACATTGTGAGCAGTCATCTGTTCATGTGACGGAGAGTGAAGTCATTTGACAACAGGCATCTGTGCCCTGCAGACTCCCCTCAGCTCAGAGAGCTGCCACCTTCACTCTTATTTACGCACACAAACACTGACTCACACACTCCCGCTCTCTCCTCCATCTTCCCTCTCATCTCTTCCTCTCCCCTTCATTACATGCAGCCCCCTCCTCCACCAATCCTTCATACTCGTAGCCGTCATTTTCACTTCCCTGTAATTCAAAGTGAAGCAGCAGAGGAAGCTGTGGGCTAAATTGAGACGTGACTATGTAGATGAGTATGGTATAATGTGTCAGAGAGCTGTGGAATATGACACACTGTGTCTCTATCATGGGGAGAGCTCCACCGTCAAGCACATTAGGTTGAGGAGGATGCATGGCACATTTTCGCCTACAATCTAACCTTAATGAAATCTCCATGGCAGTTTTGCCCAGAGTTCAACTTTGGAGAAACTAACTGAAAATATAAACTGTTGACCAATAGATTAGCGTGAGATTCTTTGTAGGCCAACCTGGAAGCTATAGCTTGTTCCATCAACAAAAAGCCAAATAAATGTTTTTCCATGGGATTTTGGATTATTCAGCAAAATAAACCCTTTGGCAAAGAAAACATATGTGTGACATTTACACTTTATGTTCAGTAGGATAATCTGATGCTAAAAGCTAACATTAGGCCATAAACAATCTACATCACTTGAGCAAAACTAGCAAAACTGCCTCAACAATACGCTTAAAGGGGCCCTATTATTCTCATTTTCAGGAGAAAATGGTGCAGGATTTTATTTTGTTTCTCTACTGCAGGGGTGCCCACACTTTTTCAGCTTGGGAGCTACTTTTAAAATGACCAAGCCCAAATGATCTACCTATAGGGCCGCCCCTGCCCAATCTGTGTCGTGAGCGGGGGGGAGGGGTGCTAGTGGACTAACGGCCCGTCCACACAGCGGCGTGCGTTGATGCTTGCCGGCGGGCGTGTCTACAACTCGACCAACAACCAATCACATTAATCTCCCGCCCCTGACACACAAGCAGCGGTTTGATTGGCTAGAGCTTGTACTGGCATATGATTTGATTGACTGACGCTTCTGCCGAGGCGTCAAAAGTTGCAGCGAGCCACGCCAGCAACGCTCCACGTCGCTTCCCACGATGCAGTTCGGCGAAAAGTGACGTCACCCCATTCAAAGTGAATGGTGAAGCATCAACGCACGCCGCTGGGTGGACGGGCCGTAACGGCGGATAAACTGTGGCGCGCTTACCCCTAGATTCCACCGGGTCCGTCTGCGGCGTGTTAGGGCTGCGCCGCGGCGTCCGCGAGAATCCCGGCCACTCTAGTCAATGGGTGCTATTCCACCAGACGCGCCGCGTTACGGCTCAGAAGCGTCCCAGAAGCGTCTCGCCGCTGGGCTCCGCTCTAAATAGGATTGAAGTCTATTTTTCGACGCGACGCAGCCGTAAGTTAATGTCGGGCAGGCAGGAAGTGGAACGTTCAGAGCATATATAGCATATATATATATACACACACACAAACTAATTTTGCAGACCCTATCCCTCCTTAGTCTTTCAAGTAGGAGGAGAAATGCCAGCGTTCTCCTCCGATTTACAGGCACTGTGTCAATTATATATATAGAATAATTATGATGATGAATGCATTTTTTTACCACTAAAATACAGCAACACATCTTTGATTCATGTCGTTTATAACTGTGATATTACAATTATTATTAACTTTGTCTGTACAAAGTAGCCTGTCCAGGAAATATGCCTAAATCAACAAAAACTGCGAGCCGGCAGGCAAGACGCTCCGCTTCTGAAATGCACCCGGTAGGGTATGACGCCGGAGGAGGCCGGACCAAAACTGCGCCGCAGCCGTAACACGCCGCAGACGGACCCGGTGGAATCTAGGGGTTACACTAATTGCAGCGCATAATAGTGCGCCGCATTTGCGCTTCAGATGAGGAGGTGAGGCCCCCTCTTAACTGCATGAACCCGTATGGCACAATACAACTCAGACTGGCTTACCTGTACGTGAATCAAGTGGCAAATGCCATAGTAAGGATGGATGATAGGCTAACTTTATTAAAATAATTTTGTTCAATGCCATGCGATCTACCCACACTACCTTTGCGATCGTCCGGTCGATCACGATCGACGTATTGGGCACCCCTGCTTACTGTAACATGTTTCCATGCTTTAATGTTCAAACATTTATTTTTTCATTTTTCTCATACTGTACGCCTGCAGCACCTCTTTTCACCCTCTGTCTGAAACCAGAGCCCAGTCTTAGAGATGTCCCGCCTGTTAGCCTATCAAGTACAATGTGTTTGAGCGCTAGCCACTAGAAGTGTGTAACATAGTGATGTCACTATTTAATGGAAGTAAACAAAGGACTATCATGAAGGTGTTTCAGGCAGGGAGTGGAGTGTATGGGAGAAAAACTCTGGGATTTTAGCCTTTGCAGACCAATTGAATGCACAAAAACATATGTAACACACTACAAGAAAGGTAAAACCCCCAAAAAGCATAAATAGGCTCCTCTAAGACAGACTCAATTAAGGCTTGAATCGTAGTAGTGTTTTTTAGCCCACTTTTTTAAGAAATGTAAAAGCTTCCAATTTGAGGTGGTGTATTTATTGATGCATTTTATCATGTACAACAACAAAAAAACTAGTTTTGGTTCAATTATTTTTGGTTTATTCTTTCAAACTGGTTGAAAGCTTTATCACGATGTATAGGCCATTGATATAACGATGCCCCAACATGTCAATGCTTCTGTGCCTTGAGATTACCAATGACAGATACATTATATTTATATAATGTTTTAATATTATGAAAAAAACACTTTTCTTTCTGAAGTGCCCTTCGCCTTAGCCTTAAACACAATATGTTTTTTTTTAAGTTTGCTTATTGAATATTTTTGGATACATACTCTTTTGCCACTTTCCTGGTATAAGCACACTACACAGTCAAAGCCTGCTTAAGTGTGTAATTTGGAGATATCTCAAATCTGCAATTATCCACATTCATTTTCTGAAAACATTTTGGTTGTTCAAGCAAGGGGGAAAACCGTTCAAGTAGCTCCATTTATGAACACATCATGTCTTTTTCACTCACTGTAAAACACACACACACACACACACACACACACACACACACACACACACACACACACACACACACACACACACACACACACACACACACACACACACACACACACACACACACACACACACACACACACTAATTAACTAATGCAATTACTTGTCACACTTATAATTATCAATGGGTGTTCTTTAGGCTAATTGCAAGGTGTAATACAGAAACAGAATAAGGTTTAACCCTCCGGTAAAATTCGATTGGACTATGCAAATTAGTCATTCGAGACAAAAATGTCCACTGCAAAATGCTTTGATAAAAACATTATATTAAAAGGTTTTATTCACAACTTTTTTGGGTTCAATCTTTAAAGCAACTTCCACCCTAAT